TGGTGGAGGTGGTGGAGGTGGTGGTGAAGGTGAAGGTGGTGAAGGTGGTGGTGAAGGAGGTGGTGGTGGAGGTGGTGGTGGTGGTGGAGGTGGTGGAGGTGGAGGTGGTGGAGGTGGTGGTGGAGGTGGTGGATGTGGAGGTGGTGGTGGAGGTGGTTGAGGTGGTGGTGGAGGTGGTGGTGGTGGAGGTGGTGGTGGTGGATGCGTGAACCACCGCCCCTTCACCCCGTCACCCCTCTCCCCCGGGGTCACCTTTGCGGTGGAGTTGGAGACTCCGTGGGTGACGTTGCGAATGAGTCCTCCCACGTTGCCGTGTCGCAGAAGGCCGCTCATCCCCTCCGTCACGTCGTTCAAGAGACCCACCGGGTTGCCCAGGAAGTCCACCGAGCCCAGAATGGCCACCGCCTGGCCCATCAGCTCCTGGGTGGGCGGGGGGAAGACCAAGGGCTTGAATCCAGAATCACGGTGATCCACAACACCAACACCACCAACACGGCCACCGTGAACACGAACACCACCACCAACACGGCCACCGTGAACACCGCCACCACCAACACGGCCACCGTGAACACCACCACCACCACCAACACGGCCACCGTGAACACCAACACCACCACCAACACGGCCACCGTGAACACCGCCACCACCAACACGGCCACCGTGAACACCAACACCACCACCAACACGGCCACCGTGAACACCAACACCACCACCAACACGGCCACCGTGAACACCGCCACCACCAACACGGCCACCGTGAACACCAACACCACCACCAACACGGCCACCGTGAACACCGCCACCACCACCAACACGGCCACCGTGAACACCAACACCACCACCAACACGGCCATGGTGAACACCACCACCACCAACACGGCCACCGTGAACACCACCACCACCACCCGCCCACGGTGACCCCCAGCACCACCACCACCACCACCACGACCCGCCCACGGTGACCCCCGCGTCCCACCTCACGGTAGTGTTTGACCACGCTGGCCAGCAGGCTGTCGAGCGTCTCGTAGGGGTGCATCCTGGCAAAGGGCTCCATCTCCACACGGGCGTGCTCGAAGCGCACAAAGCGGACACCCAGGCGAGACTTCAGCACCTGGGACGGCGGGCAGCGGAGAGGGGAAACGCCGGCAGCTCGTTAACCCACCAGCACACACACACACAGGTACCTACACACACAGCAGGTACCTACACACACACAGGTACCTACACACACAGTAGGTACCTACACACACACACACAGGTACCTACACACACACACACAGGTACCTACACACACACAGGTACCTACACACACAGTAGGTACCTACACACACACACACAGGTACCTACACACACACACACACAGCAGGTACCTACACACACACACACACACAGCAGGTACCTACACACACACACAGTAGGTACCTACACACACACACAGTAGGTACACACACAGCAGGTACCTACACACACACACAACAGGTACCTACATACACACACACAGCAGGTACCTACACACACACAGTAGGTACCTACACACACACACAGGTACCTACACACACACAGGTACCTACACACACACACAGGTACCTACACACACACACAGGTACCTACACACACACACAACAGGTACCTACACACACACACACTAGGTACATACACACACACACAGGTACCTACACACACACAGCAGGTACCTACACACACACACAAAGCAGGTACCTACACACACACACAGTAGGTACCTACACACACACAGGTACCTACACACACAGTAGGTACCTACACACACAGACAGCAGGTACCTACACACACACACACACAGGTACCTACACACACACACAGTAGGTACCTACACACACACACAGCAGGTACCTACACACACACACACAGGTATCTACACACACACACAGTAGGTACCTACACACACACAATAGGTACCTACACACACACAGTAGGTACCTACACACACACAGGTACCTACACACACACAGGTACCTACACACACACACAGTAGGTACCTACACGCACACACAGTAGGTACCTACACACACACAGGTACCTACACACACACAGTAGGTACCTACACACACACACACAGTAGGTACCTACACACACACACAGTAGGTACCTACACACACACAGGTACCTACACACACACAGTAGGTACCTACACACACACACACAGTAGGTACCTACACACACACACAGTAGGTACCTACACACACACAGGTACCTACACACACACAGTAGGTACCTACACACACACACAGTAGGTACCTACACACACACACAGTAGGTACCTACACACACACAGGTACCTACACACACACAGTAGGTACCTACACACACACACAGTAGGTACCTACACACACACACAGTAGGTACCTACACACACACAGGTACCTACACACACACAGTAGGTACCTACACACACACACACAGTAGGTACCTACACACACACAGAGTAGGTACCTACACACACACAGGTACCTACACACACACAGGTACCTACACACACACATAGTAGGTACCTACACACACACAGGCACCTACACACACACATAGTAGGTACCTACACACACACAGGTACCTACACACACACACACGCAGCAGGTACCTACACACACACACAGGTACCTACACACACACACAGTAGGTACCTACACACACAGTAGGTACCTACACACACACACAGTAGGTACCTACACACACACAGCAGGTACCTACACACACACACAGTAGGTACCTACACACGCACACAGTAGGTACCTACACGCACACACACAGCAGTTACCTACACACACACACAGGCACCTACACACACACAGTAGGCACCTACACACACACACAGTAGGTACCTACACACACACAGTAGGTACCTACACACACAGTAGGTACCTACACACACACAGTAGGTACCTACACACACACAGGTACCTACACACACACAGGTACCTACACACACAGACACAGGTACGTACACACACACACACAGGTACCTACACACACACACAGTAGGTACCTACACACACACAGGTACCTACACACACACACACAGGTACGTACACACACACACACAGGTACCTACACACACACACAGGCACCTACACACAAACACACACACAGGTACCTACACACACAGCAGGTACCTACACACACAGTAGGTACCTACACACACAGTAGGTACCTACACACACACAGTAGGTAACTACACACACACAGGTACCTACACACACACACACAGGTACCTACACACACACACAGGTACCTACACACACACACAGGTACCTACACACACACACAGGTACCTACACACACAGTAGGTACCTACACACACACAGGTACCTACACACACACAGGTACCTACACACACACAGGTACCTACACATACACACAGTAGGTACCTACACACACAGTAGGTACCTACACACACACACAGTAGGTACCTACACACACAGTAGGTACCTACACACACACACAGCAGGTACCTACACACACACACACACAGTAGGTACCTACACACACACAGTAGGTACCTACACGCACACACACAGCAGTTACCTACACACACACACAGGCACCTACACACACACAGTAGGCACCTACACACACACACACAGTAGGTACCTACACACACACAGTAGGTACCTACACACACAGTAAGTACCTACACACACACACACAGTAGGTACCTACACACACACAGGTACCTACACACACACACAGGTACGTACACACACACAGGTACCAACACACACACACAGTAGGTACCTACACACACACAGGTACCTACACACACACACACAGGTACGTACACACACACACAGGTACCTACACACACACACACAGGCACCTACACACAAACACACACAGGTACCTACACACACAGCAGGTACCTACACACACACAGTAGGTACCTACACACACAGTAGGTACCTACACACACAGTAGGTACCTACACACACACACAGTAGGTAACTACACACACACATGTACCTACACACACACACAGTAGGTACCTACACACACACAGGTACCTACACACACACACAGGTACCTACACACACACACAACAGGTACCTACACACACACACAGCAGGTACCTACACACACACACACAGGTATCTACACACACACACAGTAGGTACCTACACACACACAATAGGTACCTACACACACACAGTAGGTACCTACACACACAGGTACCTACACACACACAGGTACCTACACACACACACACAGTAGGTACCTACACGCACACACAGTAGGTACCTACACACACACAGGTACCTACACACACACAGTAGGTACCTACACACACACACACACAGTAGGTACCTACACACACACACAGTAGGTACCTACACACACACAGGTACCTACACACACACAGTAGGTACCTACACACACACACAGTAGGTACCTACACACACACACAGTAGGTACCTACACACACACAGGTACCTACACACACACAGTAGGTACCTACACACACACACAGTAGGTACCTACACACACACAGGTACCTACACACACACAGTAGGTACCTACACACACACACACAGTAGGTACCTACACACACACAGTAGGTACCTACACACACACACAGTAGGTACCTACACACACACAGGTACCTACACACACACAGTAGGTACCTACACACACACACACAGTAGGTACCTACACACACACACAGTAGGTACCTACACACACACAGGTACCTACACACACACAGTAGGTACCTACACACACACAGTAGGTACCTACACACACACACAGCAGGTACCCACAAACACACACACAGTAGGTACCTACACACACACAGTAGGCACCTACACACACACACAGTAGGTACCTACACACACACAGTAGGTACCTACACACACAGTAGGTACCTACACACACACAGTAGGTACCTACACACACACAGGTACCTACACACACACAGGTACGTACACACACACACACAGGTACCTACACACACACACAGTAGGTACCTACACACACACAGGTACCTACACACACACACACAGGTACGTACACACACACACAGGTACCTACACACACACACACAGGCACCTACACACAAACACACACACAGGTACCTACACACACAGCAGGTACCTACACACACACAGTAGGTACCTACACACACAGTAGGTACCTACACACACAGTAGGTACCTACACACACACACAGTAGGTAACTACACACACACAGGTACCTACACACACACACACAGGTACCTACACACACACAGGTACCTACACACACACACAGGTACCTACACACACACACAGGTACCTACACACACAGTAGGTACCTACACACACACAGGTACCTACGCACACACACATGTACCTACGCACACACACAGGTACCTACACACACACAGGTACCTACACATACACACAGTAGGTACCTACACACACAGTAGGTACCTACACACACACACAGTAGGTACCTACACACACACACAGCAGGTACCTACACACACACACACAGTAGGTACCTACACACACACAGTAGGTACCTACACGCACACACACAGCAGTTACCTACACACACACACAGGCACCTACACACACACAGTAGGCACCTACACACACACACAGTAGGTACCTACACACACACAGTAGGTACCTACACACACAGTAGGTACCTACACACACACACAGTAGGTAACTACACACACACAGGTACCTACACACACACACACAGGTACCTACACACACACACAGGTACCTACACACACACACAGGTACCTACACACACACACAGGTACCTACACACACAGTAGGTACCTACACACACACACAGGTACCTACACACACACACAGGTACCTACACACACACAGGTACCTACACATACACACACACAGCAGGTACCTACACACACACAGGCACAGGTACCTACACACACACACAGTAGGTAACTACACACACACAGGTACCTACACACACACACACAGGTACCTACACACACACACAGGTACCTACACACACACACAGGTACCTACACACACACACAGGTACCTACACACACAGTAGGTACCTACACACACACACAGGTACCTACACACACACACAGGTACCTACACACACACAGGTACCTACACATACACACACACAGCAGGTACCTACACACACACAGGCACAGGTACCTACACACACACACAGTAGGTACCTACACACACACACACAGTAGGTACCTACACACACACACACACAGTAGGTACCTACACACACAGAGTAGGTACCTACACACACACAGGTACCTACACACACAGGTACCTACACACACACATAGTAGGTACCTACACACACACAGGTACCTACACACACACATAGTAGGTACCTACACACACACAGGTACCTACACACACACACGCAGCAGGTACCTACACACACACAGGTACCTACACACACACACAGTAGGTACCTACACACACAGTAGGTACCTACACACACACAGTAGGTACCTACACACACACACAGCAGGTACCTACACACACACACACACAGTAGGTACCTACACACACACACAGTAGGTACCTACACGCACACACACAGCAGTTACCTACACACACACACAGGCACCTACACACACACAGTAGGCACCTACACACACACAGTAGGTACCAACACACACACAGTAGGTACCTACACACACAGTAGGTACCTACACACACACACACACAGTAGGTACCTACACACACACAGGTACCTACACACACACACAGGTACGTACACACACACACACACACAGGTACCTACACACACACACACACAGTAGGTACCTACACACACACAGGTACCTACACACACACACAGGTACGTACACACACACAGGTACCTACACACACACACACAGGCACCTACACACAAACACACACACAGGTACCTACACACACAGCAGGTACCTACACACACAGTAGGTACCTACACACACAGTAGGTACCTACACACACAGTAGGTACCTACACACACACACAGTAGGTAACTACACACACACAGGTACCTACACACACACACACAGGTACCTACACACACACACAGGTACCTACACACACACAGGTACCTACACACACACACAGGTACCTACACACACAGTAGGTACCTACACACACACACAGGTACCTACACACACACACAGGTACCTACACACACACAGGTACCTACACATACACACAGTAGGTACCTACACACACACACAGCAGGTACCTACACACACAGGCACAGGTACCTACACACACAGAAGGTACCTACACACACACAGTAGGTACCTACACACACACACACAGCAGGTACCTACACACAGGCACAGGTACCTACACACACAGTAGGTACCTACACACACACACAGTAGGTACCTACACACACACACAGGTACCTACACACACACAGGTACCTATACACACACACAGTAGGTACCTACACACACACACAGGTACCTTCACACACACAGGCACAGGTACCTACACACACACACACAGTAGGTACCTACACACACACACAGCAGGTACCTACACACACACACAGTAGGTACCTACACACACACACAGGTACCTACACACACACACAGGTACCTACACACACAGGTACCTACACACACACACAGTAGGTACCTACACACAAACACAGTAGGTACCTACACACACACAGGTACCTACACACACACCAGGTACCTACACACACACACAGCAAGTACCTACACACACACACACAGGTACCTACACACACACACAGTAGGTACCTACACACACACACACAGGTACCTACACACACACACACAGGTACCTACACACACACACAGTAGGTACCTACACACACACACACACCAGGTACCTACACACACACACACCAGGTACCTACACACACACACAGGTATCTACACACACACACACAGTAGGTACCTACACACACACACAGTAGGTACCTACACACACACACAGCAGGTACCTACACACACACACACAGTAGGTACCTACACACACACACAGCAGGTACCTACACACACACACACAGGTATCTACACACACACACAGTAGGTACCTACACACACACACAGCAGGTACCTACACACACACACACAGTAGGTACCTACACACACACACTTATAGGACGTGCGTGCCTGCGCGTGTGTGTACGCGTGTGTGCGCGTGTGTGCGCGTGTGTGCGCGTGTGTACGTGTGTGTATGTGTGTGTACGCGTGTGTGTATACGCGTGTGTGTGTGCGTGTGTGTGCGCGTGTGTGCGTGTGTGCGCGTGTGCGTGCGTGTGTGTACGCGTGTGTGTGTACGCGTGTGTGTACGTGCGTGTGTGTGTGTGTACGTGTCTGCGTGTGTACGCGTATGTGTGTACGTGTGTGTGTGTGTGTACGTGTGTGTGTGTGTACGTGTGTGTGTGTGTGTGTACGTGTGTGTGTGTACGTGTGTGTGTACGTGTGTGTGTGTGTACGTGCGTGTGTGTGTGTACGTGTGTGTGTGTGTGTACGTGTGTGTGTGTGTACGTGTGTGTGTGTGTACGTGTGTGTGTGTGTACGTGTGTGTGTGTGTACATGTGTGTGTGTGTGTACGTGTGTGTCTACGTGTGTGTGTACGTGTGTGTGTGTGCGTGCATGTGTGTACGTGTGTGTGTGTACGTGTGTGTGTGTGTACGTGTGTGTGTATGTGTGTACGTGTGTGTGTGTGTACATGTGTGTGTGTGCGTGCGTGTGTGTGTGTGTGCGTACCTTCAGCTCACGTGGCAGGTCTGGGCTCGTGTAGAAGCTCAGATGCATCAGAGGCATGGAGATTTTGAGGATCTCAAAGTAGTGGCGGGCGGCTGTGAGCTTCCCCGTCCGCTCCAGAGACTGGGCGTCCAGCCAACCACTGTCGCCACACTCCCCGTCTAGGGGGGGGTAGAGGTCGGGGTATCACCACACCATAGACTCAGTATCACCATAGACTCAGTATCACCATAGACTCAGTATCACCACAGACTCAGTATCACCATAGACTCTGTATCACTACACCATAGACTCAGTACCACCATAGACTCAGTATCACTACACCATAGACTCAGTATCACTACACCATAGACTCAGTATCACTACACCATAGACTCAGTATCACTACACCATAGACTCAGTATCACCATAGACTCAGTAACACTACACCATGGACTCAGTATCACCACACCATAGACTCAGAATCACCATAGACTCAGTATCACTACACCATAGACTCAGTATCACTACACCATAGACTCAGTATCACTACACCATAGACTCAGTATCACCATAGACTCAGTATCACTACACCATAGACTCAGTATCACCATAGACTCAGTATCACTACACCATAGACTCAGTATCACTACACCATAGACTCAGTAACACTACACCATAGACTCAGTAACACTACACCATAGACTCAGTATCACCACACCATAGACTCAGTATCACTACACCATAGACTCAGTATCACTACACCATAGACTCAGTATCACTACACCATAGACTCAGTATCACTACACTATAGACTCAGTATCACTACACCATAGACTCAGTATCACTACACCATAGACTCAGTATCACCACACCATAGACTCAGTAACACCACACCATAGACTCAGTATCACCACACCATAGACTCAGTATCACTACACCATAGACTCAGCACTATCACCCATAGACTCAGCACTGTCACCCATAGACTCAGCACTGCCACCCATAGACTCAGCACTGCTACCCATAGACTCAGCACTGTCACTCATAGACTCAACACTGTCACCCACAGACTCAGCACTGCTACCCACAGACTCAGCACTGTCACCCATAGACTCAGCACTGTCACCCATAGACTCAGCACTGTCACCCATAGACTCAGCACTGTCATAGACTCAGCACTGTCACCCATAGACTCAGCACTGTCACCCATAGACTCAGCACTGTCACCCATAGACTCAACACTGTCACCCATAGACTCAGCACTGTCACCCACAGACTCAACACTGTCACCCACAGACTCAACACTGCTACCCACAGACTCAGCACTGTCACCCATAGACTCAACACTGTCACCCATAGACTCAGCACTGTCACCCATAGACTCAGCACTGTCATAGACTCAGCACTGTCACCCATAGACTCAACACTGTCACCCATTGACTCAGCACTGTCACCCATAGACTCAGCACTGTCACCCACAGACTCAGCACTGCTACCCACAGACTCAGCACTGTCACCCATAGACTCAGCACTGTCACCCATAGACTCAACACTGTCACCCACAGACTCAGCACTGCTACCCATAGACTCAGCACTGTCACCCATAGACTCAACACTGTCACCCATTGACTCAGCACTGTCACCCATAGACTCAGCACTGTCACCCACAGACTCAGCACTGCTACCCACAGACTCAGCACTGTCACCCATAGACTCAGCACTGTCACCCATAGACTCAACACTGTCACCCATAGACTCAACACTGCTACCCATAGACTCAGCACTGCTACCCACAGACTCAGCACTGTCATAGACTCAGCACTGTCACCCATAGACTCAGCACTGTCATAGACTCAACACTGTCACCCATAGACTCAGCACTGTCATAGACTCAGCACTATCACCCATAGACTCAGCACTGCTACCCACAGACTCAGCACTGTCACCCATAGACTCAGCACTGCTACCCATAGACTCAGCACTGTCACCCATAGACTCAGCACTGTCACCCATAGACTCAGCACTGTCACCCATAGACTCAGCACTGCTACCCACAGACTCAGCACTGTCACCCATAGACTCAGCACTGTCACCCATAGACTCAGCACTGTCACCCATAGACTCAGCACTGTCACCCATAGACTCAACACTGCTACCCATAGACTCAGCACTGCTACCCACAGACTCAGCACTGTCACCCATAGACTCAGCACTGTCACCCATAGACTCAGCACTGTCACCCATAGACTCAGCACTGTCATAGACTCAACACTGTCACCCATAGACTCAGCACTGTCACCCATAGACTCAACACTGTCACCCACAGACTCAGCACTGTCACCCATAGACTCAGCACTGTCACCCATAGACTCAGCACTGTCATAGACTCAACACTGTCACCCATAGACTCAGCACTGTCATAGACTCAGCACTATCACCCATAGACTCAGCACTGCTACCCACAGACTCAGCACTGTCACCCATAGACTCAGCACTGCTACCCATAGACTCAGCACTGTCACCCATAGACTCAGCACTGTCACCCATAGACTCAGCACTGTCACCCATAGACTCAGCACTGCGACCCACAGACTCAGCACTGTCACCCATAGACTCAGCACTGTCACCTATAGACTCAGCACTGCTACCCATAGACTCAGCACTGTCACCCATAGACTCAACACTGTCACCCATAGACTCGGCACAGTCATAGACTCAGCACTGTCACCCATAGACTCAGCACTGTCACCCACAGACTCAGCACTGTCACCCATAGACTCAGCACTGCTACCCATAGACTCAGCACTGTCACCCATAGACTCAGCACTGTCACCCATAGACTCAGCACTGTCACCCATAGACTCAGCACTGCTACCCACAGACTCAGCACTGTCACCCATAGACTCAGCACTGTCACCTATAGACTCAGCACTGCTACCCATAGACTCAGCACTGTCACCCATAGACTCAACACTGTCACCCATAGACTCGGCACAGTCATAGACTCAGCACTGTCACCCATAGACTCAGCACTGTCACCCACAGACTCAGCACTGCCACCCACCGACTCAGCACTGTCACCCATAGACTCAGCACTGCCACCCATAGACTCAACACTGTCACCCACAGACTCAGCACTGCCACCCATAGACTCAGCACTGTCACCCATAGACTCAGCACTGTCACCCATAGACTCAGCACTGCTACCCATAGACTCAGCACTGTCATAGACTCAGCACTGTCACCCATAGACTAAGCACTGTCATAGACTCAGCACTGTCACCCATAGACTCCGCACTGTCACCCATAGACTCAGCACTGTCATAGACTCAGCACTGTCACCCATAGACTCAGCACTGCTACCCACAGACTCAGCACTGTCACCCACAGACTCAGCACTGTAACCCACAGACTCACCACTGTCACCCACAGACTCACCACTGTCACCCACAGACTCAACACTGTCACCCACAGACTCAGCACTGTCACCCATAGACTCAGCACTGCTACCCATAGACCCAGCGCTGTCACCCATAGACTCAGCACTGTCACCCATAGACTCAGCACTGTCACCTATAGACTCAGCACTGCTACCCATAGACTCAGCACTGTCACCCATAGACTCAGCACTGTCACCCATAGACTCAGCACAGTCATAGACTCAGCACTGTCACCCATAGACTCAGCACTGTCACCCATAGACTCAGCACAGTCATAGACTCAGCACTGTCACCCATAGACTCAGCACTGTCACCCATAGACTCAGCACTGTCACCCACAGACTCAGCACTGTCACCCATAGACTCAGCACTGTCACCCACAGACTCAGCACTGTCACCCATAGACTCAGCACTGTCACCCACAGACTCAGCACTGTCACCCATAGACTCAGCACTGTCACCCATAGACTCAGCACTGTCACCCATAGACCCAGCACTGTCACCCATAGACTCAGCACTGTCATAGACTCAACACTGCTACCCATAGACTCAACACTGTCACCCATAGACTCAACACTGTCACCCATAGACTCAACACTGTCACCCATAGACTCAACACTGTCACCCACAGACTCAGCACTGTCACCCATAGACTCAGCACTGTCACCCACAGACTCAGCACTGTCACCCATAGACTCAGCACTGTCACCCATAGACTCAGCACTGTCACCCATAGACCCAGCACTGTCACCCATAGACTCAGCACTGTCATAGACTCAACACTGCTACCCATAGACTCAACACTGTCACCCATAGACTCAACACTGTCACCCATAGACTCAACACTGTCACCCATAGACTCAACACTGTCACCCACAGACTCAGCACTGTCACCCATAGACTCAACACTGTCACCTATAGACTCAGCACTGTCACTCATAGACTCATCACTGTCACCCATAGACTCAACACTGTCACCCATAGACTCAGCACTGTCACCCATAGACTCAGCACTGTCACCCATAGACTCAGCACTGTCACCCATAGACTCAGCACTGTCACCCATAGACTCAGCACTGTCACCCATAGACTCAGCACTGTCACCCATAGACTCAGCACTGTCACCCATAGACTCAGCACTGTCACCCATAGACTCAGCACTGTCATAGACTCAGCACTGTCACCCATAGACTCAGCACTGTCACCCATAGACTCAGCACTGTCATAGACTCAACACTGTCACCCATAGACTCAGCACTGTCACCCATAGACTCAGCACTGTCACTCATAGACTCAGCACTGCCACCCATAGACTCAGCACTGTCACCCATAGACTCAACACTGTCACCCATAGACTCAACACTGCCACCCACAGACTCAGCACTGTCACCCACAGACTCAGCACTGTCACCCATAGACTCAGGACTGCCACCCACAGACTCAGCACTGTCACCCATAGACTCAGGACTGCCACCCACAGACTCAGCACTGTCACCCATAGACTCAGCACTGCCACCCACAGACTCAGCACTGTCACCCACAGACTCAGCACTGTCACCCATAGACTCAACACTGCCACCCATAGACTCAGCACTGTCACCCATAGACTCAGCACTGCCACCCACAGACTCAGCACTCCACTCACCTCCCTCCTTGTCTCCGTATCCGAAGAACTGCAGCAGCTTCAGCAGCAGCTTCTCCTCCAGGTTGACGCTCATCGCTCGCACGCTCACCATGAGCCTCTGGGTAACGGGGGGGAGGGTCACGGGGTTGGTCACGTGGGTCGACGTGGTGACGTCACCGCCACTTAGTGGAGAATGGCGGTTGTTGTGTCTGCGTGTGTGTGTCTGCGTGTGTGTGTGTCTGTATGTGTGTCTGTGTGTGGGTGTCTGTGTGTGTGTGTCTGTATGTGTGTCTGTGTGAGTGTCTGTGTGTGTGTCTGCGTGTGTGTGTCTGTGTGTGTGTCTGTGTGTGTGTCTGTGTGTGTGTGTCTGCGTGTGTGTCTGTCTGTGTGTGTGTCTGTCTGTGTGTGTGTCTGCGTGTGTGTCTATCTGTGTGTGTGTGTCTGCGTGTGTGTGTCTTCGTGTGTGTGTGTCTGTGTGTGTGTGTGTCTCTGTGTGTGTGTGTGTCTGTGTGTCTTAGTGTCTTAGTGTCTGTGTGTGTGTCTGCGTGTATGTGTGTGTGTCTGCGTGTGTCTGCGTGTGTCTGCGTGTGTGTGAGTCTGTGTGTGTGTGTGTGTGGAGAGCGGTGGTGCAGCGGTTAGCGCCACGCTGCACTATGAACCTGGCGACCCGAGTTCGATTCCCGCTCACGGCCTACACCGGCGACGATTATCTGAACCGGTCATGGGCCTCCCCTAGGTCGACTCAGCCTCAAATGAGTAACCAGCTGTAGCGGTTGTGGTGGTGGTGTAGCTGTGGTGGTGTAGTGAACATCGCTAGCACTGGGGGAGACAAAGGCGGCCGGGCGTGGTGCTGGCCACCCACTCCCTCTGTGTGTGTAGCCACAGTGCCGGTAGCTTTCATAGACGCTGCTGATGCTGCTGCTGACAGCCCCAACAGACTGTGGATCTTTATTCCTTGTCCTTTTTGAATGACTATGTGGGTGACTAAGTGGGTGACTAAGTGACTGGGTGGGTGACTACGTGGGTGACTATGTGGGTGACTAGGTGAGTGACTAAGTGAGTGACTAGGTGACTGGGTGACTACGTGGGTGACTGGGTGGGTGACTAGATGACTGGGTGGGTGACTAAGTGGGTGACTGGGTGGGTGACTAGGTGAGTGACTAAGTGAGTGACTAGGTGACTGGGTGTGTGGGTGACTACGTGGGTGACTGGGTGGGTGACTACGTGGGTGACTGGGTGGGTGACTAAGTGGTTGACTGGGTGGGTGACTAGGTGAGTGACTAAGTGAGTGACTAGGTGACTGGGTGGGTGACTACGTGGGTGACTAAGTGGGTGACTAAGTGACTGGGTGGGTGACTACGTGGGTGACTAAGTGGGTGACTAGGTGAGTGACTAAGTGAGTGACTAGGTGACTGAGTGGGTGGGTGACTACGTGGGTGACTGGGTGGGTGACTAAGTGGGTGACTGGGTGGGTGACTAGGTGAGTGACTAGGTGACTGGGTGGGTGGGTCACTACGTGGGTGACCAGGTGGGTGACTAGGTGACTGGGTGGGTGACTATGTGGGTGACTAGGTGAGTGACTAAGTGAGTGACTAGGTGACTGGGTGGGTGACTAGGTGGGTGACCAGGTGGGTGACTAGGTGAGTGACTAGGTGACTGGGTGGGTGGGTGACTACGTGGGTGACCAGGTGGGTGACTACGTAGGCGGGAGAGTCCACCTTGTAGATGCTGGTGGAGGCGTTGTCACTGGGGAGATGGACGATGCTCAGCTGCACCGCTGGTAGCCTGCCAGTGTCACCGTCTCGCCCGGGCTGGACACTCAGCATGACCTCCCGTACAGCGTCACACTGCTGGTTGTCCACCTGCACCACACACGCACGCACAACCACTCACCCACTCACTCACTCACTCACCCACTCACTCACTCACCCACCCACCTACTAACCCACTCACTCAACCAATCACCCACTCACCCACCCACTCACCCACCCACCCACTCACCCACCCACCCACTCACCCACCCACCCACCCACCTACCCACCCACCCACCCACCTACCCACCCACCCACCCACCTACCCACCCACCCACCCACCTACCCACCCACCCACCCACCTACCCACCCACCCACCCACTCACCCACTCACCCACCCACCCACTCACCCACCCACCCACCCACCCACCCACTCACCCACCCACCCACCACCCACCCACCTGCACGTGAGAGATGCTGATGTCCAGTGAGTGCTCGCTGGCGCTGCGAGTGAGCCGTGCGGCGATGCCGCTCAGGCTGGCGAGCACCAACTCCTCGGGCGCCACGCTCACCAGCGACACTCCCACGCCACTCACCAGCGACACGCTCACCTGCACACGCTCACCAGCGTCACGCTCACCAGCGTCACCCTCACCAGCGTCACGCTCACCAGCGACACTCCCACGCCACTCACCAGCGACACGCTCACCTGCACACGCTCACCAGCGTCACGCTCACCAGCGTCACCCTCACCAGCGTCACGCTCACCAGCGACACTCCCACGCCACTCACCAGCGACACGCTCACCTGCACACGCTCACCAGCGTCACGCTCACCAGCGTCACCCTCACCAGCGACACGCTCACCAGGCGCCAGGCTCACCAGCGACACTCCCACGCCACTCACCAGCGACACGCTCACCTGCACACGCTCACCAGCGTCACGCTCACCAGGTGCCACGCTCACCAGCGTCACCCTCACCAGCGACACTCCCACACCGCTCACCAGCGACACGCTCACCAGGTAGCCTGGGGCTGGGTGAGTGAGTGAGTGAGTGGGTGAGTGGGTGAATGAGTGGGTGAGTGAATGAGTGGGTGGGTGAGTGAATGAGTGGGTGAGCGAGTGGGTGAGCGAGTGGGTGAGCGAGTGGATGAGTGAATGAGTGGGTGAGCGAGTGGGTGAGTGAGCGAGTGGATGAGTGAATGAGTGGGTGAGCGAGTGGGTGGGTGGGTGAGTGAGCGAGTGGGTGAGCGAGTGGATGAGCGAATGAGTGGGTGGGTGAGTGGGTGAGCGAGTGGGTGAGCGAATGAGTGGGTGGGTGAGTGGGTGAGCGAGTGGGTGAGTGAATGAGTGGGTGGGTGAATGGGTGAGCGAGCGGGTGAGCACACCTCCAAGTCGCGAAGAGGAGAGGAGGAAGCTGAGGGCTTGAGGTGTGAGGAGGTGGAGGAGGAGGTGGAGGAGGAGGTGGAGGTGGAGGAGGTGGTGGAGGTGGTGGGGGAGGTCGACTCCCTCTGGTCCTGTGATCCATGACCCGGCTTGCGATGAGACATGTCCATCACCTGTGAAGCATCACCCACATAGTCACCCACATAGTCAACCACATAGTCACCTAGTCACTGACCTAGTCAATCACTCACCCACTCACCTACTCACTCACCCACTCTCACCCACCCACTCACTCACCCAATCAACCACTCACTCACCCACTCACACCCACCCACTCACTCACCCACCCACTCACTCAATCAACCACTCACCCACCCACCCACCCACTCACCCACTCACCCACTCACCCACCCAATCAACCACTCACCCATCCACCCACCGACTCACCCACTCATCCACTCACTCACCGAATCACCTACTCACTCACCCACTCACCTACTCACCCAATCAACCACCCACTCTCACCCACCCACTCACTCACACCCACCTCACTCACCCACCCACTCGTTCACCCACTCACCCACTCACCTCCCACTCACCCACCCACTCACCCACCCACTCACTCACCCCCCCACTCACCTACCCCCCACCCCTCCACCCACCCCCCCCACCCACTCACCCACTCACCCACTCACTCACCCACTCACTCACTCACACCCACCTCACTCACCCACCCACTCACTCACTCACCCACTCACCTACTCACTCACTCACTCACCCACCCACTCACTCACCCACTCACTCACTCACCCACTCACCTACTCACCCACTCACCTACTCACTCACCCACTCACTCACTCACTCACTCACCTACTCACCCACTCACTCACCTACTCACTCACTCACCTACTCACCTACTCACTCACCTACTCACCCACTCACTCACCTACTCACTCACTTACTCACTCACCTACTCACCCACCCACTCACCCACCCACCCACTCACTCACTCACTCACCCACTCACCCACCCACTCACCTACTCACTAACCTACTCACCCACTCACTCACCTACTCACTCACTTACTCACTCACCTACTCACCCACTCACTCACCCACCCACCCACTCACCCACCCACCCACTCACTCACCCACCCACTCACTCACTCACCCACTCACCCACCCACCCACCCACTCACCCACCCACCCACCGACTCACTCACTCACCTACCCACTCACTCACTCACCTACTCACCCACTCACTCACTCACTCACCCACCCACCCACCCACTCACCCACTCACTCACCTACTCACTCACCTACTCACTCACCTACTCACTCACCCACTCACTCATTCACTCACCCACCCACCCACTCACCCACTCACTCACCTACCCACTCACTCACTCACTCACCTACTCACTCACCCACTCACTCACTCACTCACCCACCCACTCACCCACTCACTCACCTATTCACTCACTCACTCACTCACCCACTCACTCACTCACTCACTCACCCACTTACTCACTCACTCACCCACCCCCCCACTCACCCACTCACCCACTCACTCACCCACTCACTCACCCACTCACTCACTCACCCACCCACTCACCCACTCACTCACCTATTCACTCACTCACTCACTCACCCACTCACTCACTCACTCACCCACTTACTCACTCACTCACCCACCCCCCCACTCACCCACTCACCCACTCACTCACCCACTCACTCACCCACTCACTCACCCACTCACCCACTCACCTACTCACTCACCTACTCACCCACTCACTCACCTACTCACCCACTCACTCACGTACTCACTCACTCACCCACCCACTCACCCACTCACTCACTCACTCACCCACCCACCCACCCCCCCACCCACCCCCCACCCCCCACTCACCCACCCACCCCCCACCCACCCCCACCCCCCACCCCCCCCCCCACCCCACCCCCCACCTGCAGGACGCGAGTTGGCCCACTGAGGGTCACGTGCACACTGAGTGCCCCCGAGCCGGCCCTCAGCTTGCTGTAGCCAAACGCCTGGGCGGCATCCACGGGGGAGCCAGCAAACAGGGGCCAGGGGGCAGCCGGGCCCAGCACCACTGGGGTGGAGTCGCACAGAGACTCCACCCCACCCTCCACCTACACACACACACACAGTGTACACACACACACAGTGTACACACACACACACACAGAGACTCCACCCCACCCTCCACCTACACACACACACACAGTGTACACACAGGGTACACACAGGGTACACACACACACAGTGTACACACACAGTGTACACACACACACACACAGAGACTCCACCCCACCCTCCACCTACACACACACAGTGTACACACACACACACAGGGTACACACAGTGTACACACACACAGTGTACACACACACAGTGTACACACAGGGTACACATACACACAGTGTACACACACAGTGTACACACACAGTGTACACACACACACAGAGACTCCACCCCACCCTCCACCTACACACACACACACACAGTGTACACACACACACAGGGTACACACAGGGTACACACACACACAGAGTACACACACACACAGTGTACACACACACACACAGAGACTCCACCCCACCCTCCACCTACACACACACACACACAGTGTACACACAGTGTACACACAGGGTACACACACACACACAGTGTACACACACACAGGGTACACACAGTGTACACACACACAGAGACTCCACCCCACCCTCCACCTACACACACACATACACACACACACAGTGTACACACAGTGTACACACAGTGTACACACACACACACACAGTGTACACACACACACACAGTGTACACACACACACAGTGTACACACACACACACACAGAGACTCCACTCCACCCTCCACCTACACACACACACATACACACACACAGTGTACACACACACACAGGGTACACACACACAGTGTACACACACACAGTGTACACATACACACACACAGTGTACACACACACACACACAGACTCCACTCCACCCTACACACACACATAAACACACACAGTGTACACACACACAGTGTACACACACACACA